AATCAGATCCTTCCTTTCCCTGAAATTAAGCATAATGGAATAAAAAAAAAAAAAAAATGTATTCTACAATGAAAAAAAGAGATTTAACCTTGATATTAAAAAGTGAAAAGGGAAAAAGCAAAAGCACGGAGAAAAAAAAATTAGAGAAAAAGAATTAGGACTAAATACTTACAGTTCGGTGGCGACTTCCATGATGCCTGTCTGGAGCGGTGATGATGGTCTACGTTTGCTTGGTATTAATATTCCGACGAAATACGGTAGTAGTCACCGTAGAGCGTCACTTCCGGTTAACCGGAAGCGGCTGCTGTATAGTATCGCGCCCTGATAGGGGAAGGTGGCGGGGAGAGGTCGAGAGGCTGGAAAGGGATCGACAATATCCTATTAGTTGATTGACGATATTGATCTGTTGCTCGCTTCTAACATCTTGATCCCCGCAACGAAGGAGAAGGATGGAAAGAAGAAGATTAGAAATAAGATTACTACGCGCATCTTTATCGTATCTTAAATCCTTTAAATAATAGGAACATAATTGTTTCTTTTTTTTTCACTTGATTTAACACATAATACCCTCGAAAGAAAAACGAGCCAAAGAATTATTCATTATCCATCGTACGATTTAAATATTAGAATATTTATTATTTATTTATTTATTTTCTTTAGAGAGTTTATACTTTCGAAGAGAAAAATTTTTCTTGCGAATATATAAAAAGGTAATGGGAGATAGGATCTTTCACTTCTCGACCCAACTCTCTCTCTCTCTCTCTCTCGATACTCGACTCTCGCGCTCGCACATTGGATGAAAGGAGTAAAGGCGCGCGCTTGCGCTATAACGAATAAACACTCGGAGAGAAGTAATGTATACGTTATGTATAAAGCTATGACTTTAATGAAACTGTACGAGCGCGTAGTTAGGTGCTCGCGTACCGGTTGAACGTCGATAGATATATAGTGATCAGGTCAAGAGAGGATGTGTGCTGATAGAGCTTTCAATCTGTGCCACCTTGGGTGGTACGATTAGCTATGGCGATCCCCCTACGACGATCTCTTCCTGCCGTGCTGACCTATCATCGTCAGATACATTGCAAATACGCGCAACTACGACCCCATCGGGAGCACCGGGTTACGCGTCTATTGTTTGTCGCCTCTTCCCCCCCCCCCCCCCCCCCCCTCTCGCTTTACGTAGTATATCTCTTTCTATCTATTTATCTATCTATCTCTCTCTTTCTCTCCTCGAATCACCTTCCTCTGATCATATATCCCTTCCTTCCGACTTCCACAATAAAATTCCTCTTCCTCCGGCATATCTCTTTTCATAATGGGATTAAATCGACGATGATGATGATGATGATGATGATGATGATGATGATGATAATAACGATAGTGCTCGGGGATATTTTCGATCTTTCGGGAATGAGCCGTGATATCAGGCTTCTTAAAGATTGATGATTTCTTTATTTGGAAAGGAGATTGATCGATTAATTTATTTTTATGATTTTTCTTTTTTCGTAGAGCAAGTCAATTGTCTACTCTCTCTTGAAAATAAATATTAATTATTATTGAGGAAGAAGAAATGGAATGAAACGAAAATGATCTTTTTCTTTTTTTTTTTTCAGTATCAAAAAAGAGAAGGAAGTTGTGATACTTTGAAGAGTCGAGATGGGTCAAGTTTATGATCGATCCTGTTCGTGCCGATCTGAAGAATGGCCTGACTCGTAGCACACTTATCGGAATACTTTAAATTCTGACTTTTATCGCAAAAAGACTAAAATCTGGAGTAAATTTGATCTTTTTTTTACCGATCCGATGTCCAAAAGAGAAAAAAATTTTATTCACATGATATAATCCTTTTCGAAGATGAAAAAGATGTTTGTGGAAAATATATTATTTTATAGTTTCTTTGTTTTTTTCTAATTTTTTAACGTGAAAATATATTTGTTTGATTTGTGAGATTTATATTTTTATTTTTTATTTAGTGTATACAAAATTTGAGATTTATTGATATAGATGATATTAATGATTATATTGAATAATTTGTTTTGTATAAAGAAATAAGAAAAAGAGGAAGAAATAGATTAAGGAGAATGAAAACTAGCTATTTTTTTTTTTTTTTTAATTATATAAAGCAATAAGATGCAAAATTAATGATAGATTAAACAATCACACGTATATTTGTGCAAATATATATTCGTGATTAATCATCGATGTAAATTCTTCACGTGATCATAATGTATATATTCATTATTCTGCATAATTTAACGCAAGAGAAACTTGAAAAAAAAGACTGCTAATTATGTTGTCTGAAAGACTTACTTAAATTTCAAGGTGAACCAATAATATGTAATATGTGAAGAGAATTCGAAAAAAAATTTTATATACGTGAAGAGAATTTCTATATGTAGATTTTTTTTTAGCAATTTTAGTATAATATTTTTCTATTCTAATAAAAAAAAAAGAATCAATGTGATCAATGTAAATTAATTAATTTTAATATAATGGCTTCAAAATGTTGCACGATAATGTTCATTCATTTATACTACATAAAATATCCCCACAATCACAAATTACCGGCAATTTAATGAACTATAAAACCAGACTGTGACGCAATCAGCTGATGGTATACATATAGTTATATGATCAAAATATAGACGGAAATTTCAAATGTTTTTTTTGTATATATATTTTTCTTTTATATATATATTTTTCTAAATTTTGTATATATATTTTTCTAAATAATCATATATTATATCGCGATTGATGATTCTTCAATAATTAATTAATAATAATAAGATATATATATATATATATATATCGATATATGAAATAAAGTAAATAATATATATATATAAGTTTTTAGGTTAAAGTTATATAATGATAAAAATTAAAATGTTTCGAATCAAATTAATTTTTAAATAATTCTTAGACAGTAATGATTTGATTGAAATGAAAAGTATTTTTACTATTGTATATTAAATAAAAAAGGAACATTTTCATTATTATGTTAAATTTATACATAAATATAATATTTAACCAAAAAAATAAACCGATTTTTATCGATATATTTAATCATACATTACTCTTTCCTCATTATACGTAATTATATCAGTAAAAATTATTCATCTGGCATAATATAAAGTTTATTATATAACAGTGTATTACAAATTATTACGTTATTTGAAAATTTTTATTTTTTTTCTTTGTAAAATTTTAATTCTCATAAAAGAATTAAATTTTGTGTTAAAAATTTTAGGCTATATCTTTCGCGCATGCGCGAAGGTTAATTCATTTCAAATTTCCTTCAATAACCTTATCTAAATATTAAAAATTATTATTTCAAATGTTTTAAAAATAATGTATAATTTAATTATTTATCAATAATATTATTCTTTTTCATAAATTTATTTAGAAAATTTATTTAGAATGATTTATAACAATTATCAGCATTTATTTTCTTATATATCTTAAATCAACCAATTAGATGCAATTGTAAGAACACTAATTTTCAATTTTGCACGAATATTATCAACAGTGCCACAAGCGTACAATTCTTGAAACACTAAATCATTTTCTTAGATGACGAATATTACGTGAGGTAAGTAATCAAGATCTTCTACAGAAAAACAAATTAAAAAATTTTTATGATTATTAAAAATGATTATATATGTTACATAATGAATCTGATAATTTTGATTTCCATTAATATATGAAAAAACTAAAATTATATTTATTATCTTGATATCGATATAATAAACAATTTCGAATATCGATTATCTATTTATTCTCATCATTTCAATCTCATTATCGATTTATTCATTTTGAATAATAGTTTTGAGATATAATTTGAAAATAAGTAAAGATATTTATAACAAAATTTTAATTAATTATAAAAAACAAATTAGAAAAATACAGATAATTCTTATTCTTATTCTTAGAAATCAATAATATTCTTAGAAATTCAATAATATTTTATACAATATGATAATAAACAATGCTTACCGAACTTTTTATTATATGTAAATAAATTTCAAATATAATAATCAAATCTTTTGTTTATAACTTATTATGATTATTAATACGTGATTATTTTTTATATTTTTCATCATTTAAATTTTATTTTTATTTTGTAAACAGATATAATTATTGCAACATAATTGCAAAAACATAATGCAAAACAAATAAATCCAATATTACGTAATATAAATGATGCAAATCGCTGCTCGAAAGTCAAAAATACATTGCAAATAATAATTGAGAAATTTAATATGAAAATATAACGAGCTTGAAAAAAATACATTTTTTTTCACGAACTCAACATTATATCTATTTTTAATTATTTATCTTTGATTCAAATCTTTCAATAATGATTTCATTATTTCTTTTTTTTCAAATAGAATGTCGGCACTTCCGCCTTGTTTCGAAATATTATCTGTGTTATAAATTATATTTTATAAAAAAAAAATTTTTTTTTAATAAATT